CTGCTTAGAGAAATGCTCAGGAAGAATCATTAGAATTCAATCAGCCATGTTCCTTTCTTTTTCATAGATTGTGAGTACTGTTCCTTATGTTATATGTGTATTTTCAACCTAAGTATCAAGGCCACATCATTTAATTTTTATTTTGCTGTGGTTAGAAATTATTAAGACCAAGATGATTTGCTTATTTTAAAAGTATTAGTACTTAGTTTTTCATAACAGCTTTATTGAATTGTACCATATATAGTAAACTATACTTATTTAAAGTTTTCCCTTTGATAAGTTTTTAACAGCTTCTCTTCACCATCACCATTATCAAAATAGAACGTTTCTGCCACATGAGAAGCCTTCTTATATCCTTTGTAGTCCACCGTCTCTGCTCGTGCTTCCAGCCATCTCAGATGTGCTCTCTGTCCTTAGGGATTAGTGTACATGCTAGTGTTATATTGGCATGGGCTCATACATGAGCTACTTTTTTAGATTTCATTTTTAGTTATGTGTGTATCTTAGTGTGGGCTTATGTGGATGAGTCCAGTGTCCATGGAGGCAAGAAATAGTCGTCAGCTCTCCAGGTGGTTGGGAGCTGCCTGATGTGGGTGATGGAAGATGAACTCTGTCCTCTGCAACAGCAGTTTGTGCTCTTACCTGCTGAGCCATTGGTCCAGGCCCACAGCATCTACCTTTTTATATCTGGTTTCTGTCACCTATCATTATGATTTTGTGCTTACCTACTTTGTTTGACATTTAAAAAAAAACTCCAGTTGAGTTTTCCCATTTGACAGTTGAGAACAGGGAACAAAATCACCCTGCTATAGCCCTACTATACATGAAATTATTCCCTATTTTATTTATAAGTATTAGTTATGTTCTACATGTGTTAAGACCATTTTATAAAAGGGGAAACTAAAACAGAAGTTAAGTGAAACAAATTGGGTAAGTACAAGGGATCTTCATAAAAATGTCAAAGTTTGCCTGACATTTAGCTTCGTGTTTATAGTTGGATGACCTTGGGCGAGTTAGCATTTTATGTCTGCTGTATGAAATTATTCAATTTGAAGTACTTTAAGCCCTACTGTGCTCATACATGTCAACCAAAATGTAGCTCAGGGTATTTCTAGTTCAGTGAAAACACACAAAATGGTTATTAAAATAAATTTTATAACTTAAGATGGTGCTCACAGGTGAAGATTTTGATAACATTAACAAAGATACCTCATTATCAGGCAGTTTACAGTTTGCGTATTACTGCACATATATGTGTATGTCACATGTACATATATCAGCATGTGAATGTAATTCTTTAATTTTTTTCTTTTTCTTTTTTTTTTTTTTTGAAACAGTCACACTGTAGTTCGGGCTGACTTGTACTTTGCTGTTGTAGATCAGTCTGGCCTTGAACTCATGGAGATTGGCATGCCTCTGCCTCCCAAGTGCTGTTAACTTTGTCTTTAGCTTTTAAACAAGTGTAGGCTCATTAGGAAGTTAGAAATTTGCAAGAATAGGACATAGGGATTACATGTCTCTTCCCTATTTCCTGTTCTAATCTTACTATTTTATAAAATTTTGATATCTAGTTAACATTGAAAGATGTAGGCATTTTCCAGGCTTTTCCTATTACAAGTAAAACTCAGCATAAACATTTGTGACAAATTTTTCTGTGGACCCAATTTTTCATTTCTTTGGGATAAATGACCAGGAATGTGATTGCAGTGTCGGGTAGTAAATATGTTTGGGTTTTAAGAAACCATAGTGGTTGCATCATTTTACATTCCTATACCTATAGGATATAGTGTATCTATTTTTCTCACATTATTGCCACCATTGGTATTACCATTGTTTCTGTCTTTAGCAATGCAGGTATATATGTAGTACTAGTTCATGTGCATTTTATTTGTCAAAATAACTGTTCAAGCTTTATGGGTATTTTAAGTTAGATTTTCTTCTTTGTTAAAAACTTTTCAATTAGCTATAAAGTAGCAGGTTTTATTGTTTTTGCTGAACCTCCTCTTTCCCTCCCCATATCCTTCTGTACTTCCCCCCATGCACCTTTCCACGTTCATGACTCATGTATTCTGTTACCTACCCCAACTTCTTTGTTTTTGTTTTTCAAGACAGGGTTTCTCTGTGTAGTCCTGGCTGTCCTGGAACTCATTCTGTAGACCAGGCTGACCTCGAACTCAGAAATCCACCTGCCTCTGCCTAACCCAAGTGCTGAGATTAAAGGCGTGTGCCACCACTGCCCGGCTCTCCCCCAACTTCTTACAATCACTTTTCCCCCTCTACATCGTATTGTGGGGTCTTGAGTTAAACAGCTGCTGCTGCTGCCTCCTCCTCCTCCTTCTCCTCCTCCTCCTCCTCCTCCTCCTCCTCTTCCTCCTTTTCCTTCTCTTCCTTCTCCTACTCCTCCTTCTTCATCATCATCATCATCATAATTATTAATGTGTATGTGGAGGGGTGTGCCACAGTTTGATTGTGAAGATTAAAGAACAATGTATGGGAGTCAGTTCTTGTTGATGTGGGGTGGATTCTGGGGATTCTAGCTCAGGTTAGCAGGCTTGTTCAGGTTGCCAGTGCCTTTATGTGCTCAGCCATCTTGTTAACCCCTGAGTTATTTATATATTCCAGATACAAATCCCTTCTAACTATTATCCCAGCACCTGGTAAACTGAGATAGGATTGTGTTCTGGCCAGCTCGGACTGTGTGGCAAGATTCTATCTAAAAAATAGCCCAACTAAAACAAACCAAAACCTTTTGTACTGTATAAGATTACAAAAAATATATCCTAGTTTGAAGTTTGTCTTTCCATCTTTTTAGCAGAGCCTTTAGAACAGGAATTTTCTATTGTCTTTTTGGTTGTGATACTAGCATTTAATGGCTGAGCCATCACTCCACCTCAGGAATTTCCTATTTTATTGAAGTCCAATTTCCCCCTTCCCCCAACACACATATGGATGTTTTGAGTTTCATTTCTAAGACCTCTTCACCTTGTCCTAGTTCTGAAAGATATTAGCATTTTCTTTCTCTGTCTCCCTCTCCCTCCCTTCCTTTCTCCCTCCACTCTTAATGTTATGTAGTTATAATTTTAGTTAATACTGGCTCAATATTTAGACCTGTCATATTTATTTGACCAGGTTTTGTGTGTGTGTGTGTTCTTTTGTTTTTTTGAGGCAGGATTTTTCTGTACAGCGATGGCTGTTCTGGAACTCACTCTGTAGACCAGACTGCCCTCGAACTGAGAGCTCCACCTGCCTCTGCCTCCCAAGTGCTGGGATTAAAGGCATGCACCACCACTGCCCAGCTCTAGTTTTGTTTTACTGTGTCTGTATATGCAGGTACATATGTCCTATAGCACAGGTGTGGCAATCAGAGGACAACTTTTATCATGTTGAGACAGGGTCTCTCTTGTTGATCTGCTTCTGTGTTGTGGACTCCAGGCTAGCTGGCTCTTGAACTTCCAGGTGGTTCTCCTGCTTTTCTCTCTATCTCTCTGTAGGAATGCTGAGATTCCAGATAGCATGCCACAGTATCTAGCTTTTTATGTGCTTCTGGATAGCCACCTTAGGTTGTCAGGCTTGTGTAGCTAGCACTTTTTACTTTCTGATCTTTGCTTGTTTTTATATGCACATGCACTCACTTGTCTGTTTGTAAGAGAGTTTGTGTACAGGCTTTGCCATTGTCTTTTTTTTAAATCATGTTTTCCATTGTTTTATGTCTTACTCTGAAATTGATAAATTTTGAGGTAATTTTTTATATAAGACATGACTAGTTTTTCATGAGTAGTTCTCCAGCAGCTTAAGTAGGTAACTTAAAACTTCTCTTTTAAGTTTTTCTTCATGGAAACTATCATACTTAGAAGGGATTGTTGATTGTTATATGTTATTGTGTATACTTTACAGTTAGTTTCTTTGCCATTGATTTAACTGACTTTCAGTTTCCTGATATAGAGAAACAAATTCATTCTTTTTGTTTTGTTTTGTTTTTTGTTTTTTTCGAGACAGGGTTTCTCTGTGTAGTCCTGGATGTCCTGGAACTCACTCTGTAGACCAGGCTGGCCTCGAACTCAGAAATCCACCTGCCTCTGCCTTCCAAGTGCTGGGCAAATTCATTCTTATTCAGTAGATAAATCCAGTGGTTAGAGTATAACCAGTTCACAATCAGCTGTAGCTCAATTAATTTTAAAAACAACTGGAAAAATTCTCAATAGAAATACAGATGTACTTTTGGCGGGGACATTTAATCTATTCCTCTAGTTACAGTAGCTTTCCTAGCCTAGTTTTATATTTGGGACCATAAGTTTTCTTTTATCAAGGTAGTATAAAATTGTAGCATTAGCTATATTTACAATGTTTGATTTCAGTTTAAAGAATTATTTAGAAATTTCAGTTATTTATGTTTAAAAAAATGTAAACCAGTCAGCAAAAGGTAAGAGATGTTTTCTCTACCAGAACACCCTTTACTGTGTACAATTTCTGGATGCAACTGTTGAGAGGCCTTTCCTACCCCAACCCTTTACACTGTAACTACCTGTCTTCTTCCTTCTCACCTTCCCAGAACCACTTTCTGCTACTAATTCATTCTTTTTGATGGGTGTTAATTGGAGAAAACAAAGAAATTGAAATACATAAAAGAAAGTTAAAACCCTTATAGTCTCACCTCTAAACTGTAATAAAACTGTAATCATTCTTGAACTTTAAAGCATTTCTTATATAATTTTTCTTTTTCCTATATTAAATAAGCTTTATTATTAGTAATTTCTAGCCTGCTTTATTAATATCACCTGTAACACTTAGATATATATAAGGATTTATCAATTCTGTCATAGTTCTTGGATTTAACCAAAATAAGCCCTTGAGAAATAGCTCAGAGAACATTTTATTTTTTAAAAAAAACTTAGAAATATTAATATTCTTGAAAAATTTTAAAAATGAATTAAAAAGAAACAAGATATTAACAAATTTATGTAAAGCTTTTATCTAATTATTCAGTTTTAATTTTTTCCTAGCCATTCCACCCTGTGGTGAACCTGGATTGTTCTCGGGATTTTCGACCATTTCTTTGTGCACTCTATGCCCCTATCTGTATGGAATATGGACGTGTCACCCTTCCCTGCCGTAGGCTGTGTCAGCGTGCCTATAGCGAGTGTTCAAAGCTCATGGAGATGTTTGGTGTCCCTTGGTCTGAAGATATGGAGTGCAGTAGGTATGGATCATATTTTTATGCTTATGCGTGTCTTTAATTAATTAATTAATTTATTTATTTTTGGTTTTTGAGACAAGGTTTCTCTGTGTAGTCCTGGCTGTCCTGGAACTCACTCTGTAGACCAGGCTGGCCTCGAACTCAGAAATCCGCCTGCCTCTGCCTCCCAAGTGCTGGGATTAAAGGCGTGCACCACCACCGCCCGGCTTTTTTGTTTGTTTGTTTGTTTGTTTTGTTTTGTTTTTTTGTCTTGTTTTGTTTTTTGTCTTTAATTTATTTTAAAGAGCAGGGTATTTGTTTTTTTTTTTTAATGTGTGGGTGTTTATACAAATACTGATTTGCAGTATGCAGTATTTGTATTGTAAAACAGTTCTCAAAACAGTTTAGCACTATTTCATGATCTCATTTTTTTTGTGGAAAAAAATGAGCACTGTTTCATGATCTCATTTTTTTTTGTAGAAATTTGGAAGAATTAAAATGAAAGGATCAAGATACATCTGTGAAGAAATTTATAGGAATTAAGAATTACATAAACAAAATCTTTGGTTGATACTTTTTTTCTACTTTTAAAATACTTTTCTGGGCTGGAGAGATGGCTCAGTGGTTAAGAGCACTGACTGCTCTTCCAGAGGTCCTGAGTTCAATTCCCAGCAACCACATGGTGGCTCACAACCATCTGTAATGGGATCTGATGCCCTCTTCTGGTGTCTGAAGACAGCTGCAGTGTACTCACATACATAAAATAAATAAATAAATCTTTAAAAAAAAAATACTTTTCTGTTTTTAGAAGTAATGCCATTCATGGAAAATTACCAAATATAGAGAAGAAAATAATTACTCATAACTATCATTTTAGAAGCTTATATGCATTTGATACAGATGTGTTGATATCTAAGGCTGTTGTGTTGGCTTTGTGGTTTTGTTTTTTCATTTTTTTTCTATCACATTACTTAGTGTAAGCTTTGTTGCCTGTCACTTGAAATGATATTTTTGTTGATAATCTCAGTTCATTCTTTTAAGATCCTGGCATTTATTTAAACTTGTATCTGATTTAGAATCTAATTTAAACCTTAGAGTATCCTATCTAAGCTGCTGTGTTACACTGTTTCAGACCAGTGGATCTTGTTTCCTTCTTGCATCCTCTTCCTGAGTGTCCCTTGTGTTAGGTCCCTTACAGGGTTCATATCTTGCTTTCCTTTATACTTTCCCTGGAATCTCACAAACAAGAATCAGCAAAATAAGAAAATTGAAATAGTTACTATCTGATTATAATGAAATAAAGCTAGAAATCAACACCTAGAGAAACTACAAAATACATAGGCTCCTGTAGATTAAACAACACACTAGAGAATGATGAGTGGATCATTGAAGAAATCAAGAAGGAAATTTTTTTAATGCCCTGAGCCAAATGGAAATGAAAATACAGCAGACCAGAATCTATGGGATATAATGAAAGCAGTCCTAAGGAGGACATGTGTAGCTTTCTGAAGTAAGATTTGTGGTGACAAGTACATAGAGTTTTCTTTTTAAAAAATCCTTAATTTTGCACATAGTCATGTTTAGGAATAACTGAATTTAAGGGTAGAGTGTGTTGATGAGGAGTTGTCAGGATGATAGGAAAAAGTGAGATGATATTAAAGAACTGAGATGCCCTTTAGTTACCCAGGAAGATAAACAAAAAATTGGGCTGGGGTGTCACTTAAGTGGTTGAGTGCTTGCTTGGCATTCATAAATGCCCAGATTCTAAACCCAGCATTGCTTCCCCATAGATAATAGAGAGTGTACATGAAATTTAAAAGTCATGTGTGAGGTTGTTTATTAATGATCTAGCTCACAGCACCGTGGACATTTAAGGTAGCCTTAAAGGAAGATTTTTAAATCTTAGGTTTGAGCTTTTAGTTGTTATTCTTTTGGTACAATATAATTGCACGTACACATGCACACATATTTCACATTTGGAAACGATAAAGATTGTACTAAATACACATTCCATGTATATGTTATTTATTATTAGTGGCTGGATTGACTGTTTTAGTGGAGTGCTGATTTTGAAGGTAAAACAAATTTAATTTTAAGACTAATGTAATTTAAAACGTTTGAAGCTCCCCAGAATATGCCATTTTCTTTATTTCTATTTATCCTAAATTACACGAATAGATGAAGTCATAGGTGCTAAATTTAGAAATTGAAATTGTTAAGTGACAACAGATTTCCCTGGAAGTAAATATATTTCTCATCTTTTGATTTTTAGGTTTCCAGATTGTGATGAGCCTTATCCCCGACTTGTGGATTTGAATTTAGTTGGAGAGCCAACTGAAGGAGCCCCAGTTGCAGTGCAGAGAGATTATGGTTTTTGGTGTCCCCGAGAATTGAAAATTGATCCTGATCTTGGCTATTCATTTCTGCACGTGCGAGATTGTTCACCACCATGTCCCAATATGTACTTCAGGAGAGAAGAACTGTCATTTGCTCGCTATTTCATAGGCCTGATTTCAATCATTTGCCTCTCTGCCACATTGTTTACTTTTTTAACCTTTCTAATTGACGTCACGAGATTCCGTTACCCTGAAAGGCCTATCATATTTTATGCAGTATGCTATATGATGGTGTCATTAATTTTCTTCATTGGGTTTTTGCTCGAGGACCGAGTAGCCTGCAATGCATCTAGCCCTGCACAGTATAAGGCTTCCACAGTGACACAAGGATCTCACAATAAGGCCTGTACCATGCTCTTTATGGTACTTTATTTTTTCACTATGGCTGGCAGTGTATGGTGGGTAATTCTTACCATCACATGGTTTTTAGCAGCTGTGCCAAAGTGGGGCAGTGAAGCTATTGAGAAGAAAGCATTGCTGTTTCATGCCAGTGCCTGGGGCATCCCTGGAACTCTAACTATCATCCTTTTAGCGATGAATAAAATTGAAGGTGACAATATTAGTGGCGTTTGTTTTGTCGGCCTCTACGACGTTGATGCGTTAAGATATTTCGTTCTTGCTCCCCTCTGCCTATATGTGGTAGTTGGGGTTTCTCTCCTCTTAGCCGGCATTATATCCCTAAACAGAGTTCGGATTGAGATCCCATTAGAAAAGGAAAACCAAGATAAGTTAGTGAAGTTCATGATCCGGATCGGTGTTTTCAGCATTCTCTACCTTGTACCACTCTTGGTTGTAATTGGATGTTACTTTTATGAGCAAGCTTACCGCGGCATCTGGGAAACAACATGGATACAGGAACGCTGCAGAGAATATCACATTCCATGTCCATACCAGGTAAGGGAACCCTTGTTACAATTCTCAGAATGTGCAGGAGTGAAAAGAGGGTTACTATAAATAGAAGATCTTATCTATTGTTTTTCTAAATCTTTATGAACATTAAGCCTACACATTGATATTTTAAAGTGAAGTAAGTATATCAGTAAGTATATAATACACATATTTGTATAGACATTCATTTTAAAAGACGATGTACATTACTTTACTAGGAACTTAAAGCAATTTATTTCCATTACCACAAAAAATTTATTGATTCTTTGAAAGTCAGACTTTATAGGGGAGAAAACTGTTTCAACTCTGGGGTAAGGGTCTTCTATGGAAATTTTACTGGTGGTCAGATTATTAATTGTTTGAACAGTTTTACAGTTTTATGTAATTTAATTACATAAACCCTCTTGGCATTATTTTCTTGTTTGAATACTGAATATTTTGTGATGTACCTTTTAGTTTGAAGAGTCACAGAATCAGAATTTTTGATCTAGAAAGAAGTGGATTCTGTATATACTATAAATCTTTATACATGTCGATTTTGTTTGAATATTTGAAATACTGAGTGACTCGCCATGCTTAGTGTGTGACCAGCTGGTAGTTAGTCCTAGGAGAACAGCTCGGAGGATCCCATCCTCTAGATGATACCTGATCTTCTTCCTTTTAAAAGATTTTTCTCTTAATTTGTTAAGGTTTGTATATTTAATTTTATGTGTATGAGTGTTTTGCCAGCATATACATATATGCACCATATGTTTGCCTAGTACCAGTGGAATTCATAAAAGGGAGTTAGATCCCCTGGAACTGAAGTTATAGGTGGTTATGAGCCATCATGTAGGTGCTAGAATCCAAACCCATATCCTCTCCAAGAGCAGTAAGTGCTTTAATTGCTGAGTGGTCTCTCAGCCCCTCACAAGGAGTTTTCTCAAGAGAATGTTCTGATATTGCATCTATTCCCTATCTTTTAAGTACACCAGTCATTTAAGTACTCCTGGCATTTCTCAGACCTCTAAATACTATTAAAGGTACTTGCATCTTAGACTAAAGGGCGATGTTCATGGATCTTTCTTCCTACTAGACAGTGAACTCTTTGAGAGCAAGAACTTTTTTCTTTTATTGAAACTAGAATCTATTCTCATACAGTATACCCTGATTATAGTTTTCTCTCCCTAAGAGATAACAATCAAACATGACAAAATAAAATATAAAATGAAGTAAAACCCATCAAATCGAATTTGGACATGACAGTCCAATAGGAGGAAGAGTCCCAAGAGTGGGCACAAGAGTCAAAGACTCAGTCGTTTTCACACTAAGGAATCCCCTGAAAATAGCAAGCTAATAGCTATAATGTACATGCAGAGGACCTGTTAGACTAATGAAGGCCTTGTGCTTGCTGCTTCAGTCTGTGTGTGTGTGCTCATATGCACCTTGTTTAATTGATTCAGAGATCCTTGTTCTGGTTTCCTCCATCACCTCTGACTCTTGCAATCTTTCCACCTTTTTCGTGGGATTCCCTGGGCTTGTGGGAAGTGGAGAGGGGGATTTGATGGAAACTTCCAGTTTAGACTTTCTGCATGATGTCTGGCTGTGGGTCTCTGCGCTGTTCTTAACTACTGCCAATGGAAGCCTCTCTGATGATGATAAGGCACTGATCTATGAGTATAGCTGAATATCATTAGAAATCATCTTTTTTTTTTTTTTTTAAAGACCAGTAGTGTTTGGTTTTACCATGTCTCTGAGCTATCTAGTCTTTGGTTCTTGGCTATCTAAGCAGTGTTTGGGTATGGGCTCTTTCTCACGGAGTGGGCTTTAAGTCAGATCAGATACTGGTTGGCTACACCCACAAGTTTTATGGCTGAGTTAGTGTCCACGTTTCTCTTTCAGTGCTGCAAAGTACCTTCCCGCACCAGAGATGAGAACATAAGGGTAGAAGTTCCATATAGGCACCAGCTCAGTTTATTCATGTTCAGTGAGTTGTGTGCACGTTGTCCTCAGCAAGTGGAACCGTGCTGTCAGTTTGTGGAGAGTCATCCTTCATCTCAACAGAACCTGGGTTGTTTGGGATTTTTCAGGCACCCCTTTGGCCAACTCAATTGAATGCAACCCTGTCCCACTACTGGAAGCTTTGCCTGGCTACAAGAGATGGCCAGTTGAGACTCTATATGCCCTATTACTAGGAGTCCCCATTAGGATGTCCTTTCATAGATTTCAGGAAGTTTTCACTGAACTACGTTTCACACTATCTATCCCCCAAATGCCTCCCAATTCCAGCTGTGTCTCCTAGTATTCTCACACCTCCACCCCATCTCCCACCACACCTGACCCCCAACAATCTCATCCTCGTACCCTCCAAGTCCACTTGTAAAAATCTATTTCTCCCTCCCAGGGAGATTCATGCAACCCCTCCAGACCTCTCCTTGTTATCTATCCTCTCTGGCCTTTGGATTACTTATAGCTTAGTTGTCATTTACTTAATGGCCAATATCTACTTATAAGTGAGTACTTGTCATATTTATCTTTCTGAGTCTGAGTTAACTTCATTCAGGATGATATTTTTCTAGTTCCATCCATTTGCCTGCAAATTTCTTTTTTTTTTTTAAATAGTTATACTCCATTGTATAAATGCACCATATTTTCTTTATCCATTTATCTGTTTAGAGACATCTAAATTATTTCTAGTTTCTGGCTATTATAAATAAAGCTGCTATGAACATAGTTGAACAAGTATCCTTGTGATAGAATGAAGTGTCCTTTGGGTGTGTGTCCAAGAGTGGTATGGTATAGCTGGGTCTTGAGGTAGATCGATTCTGAGGAATTAACTGGTTTCCATAGTAGCTGGACAAGTTTGCATCCTACCAGTAATGGAGGAGTGCTTCCCTTGTTCCTCACCCCCTCACCCTCACCAGCAGAGGCTGTCACTTGAGGGTTTTTTTTTTTAAGGTTTATTTATTTATTTTTATGTATATCAGTACACTGTTGCTGTCTTCAGACACACCAGACAAGGGCATCAGATCCCATTATAGATGGTTGTGAGCCACCATATAGTTGCTGGAAATTGAACTCAGGACCTCAGGAAGAGCAGTCGTTGCTCTTAACCCTTTAGCCATCTCTCCAGCCCTTGAGTTTTTGACGTTAGCCATTCTGACAGGTGTAAGATGGAATCTCAGAGTCGTTTTTATTTGCATTTTCCTGATGGGTAAGGTTGTTGAGCATTTCTTTAAGTGTTTCTCACCCATTTGAGAGTTCTCCATTGAGAATTCTGTTTAGATTTGTACCTCATTTTTTAAAGAGAATTATTTATTCTATGTATAGTAGTTCACGGTAGCTGTCTTTTAGACACACCAGCAGAGGACATCAGATCCCATTATAGATGGTTGTGAGCTACCATGTGGTTGCTGGGAATTGAACTCAGGACCTCTAGGAAAGCAGTCAGTGTTCTTAACCATTGAGCCACCTCTCCAGCCCTGTACCTCATTTTTGTTTGTTTGGTTTGGTTTGGTTTTTCTTTTCTTTTTAATTATCTTTAATCTTTTTTACAGTCCAGTCATTATCCCCCTCCTGGTGTACCCTCTCACAGTTCTTCATCTCATTCCTCCTCCCCGGGGGCCACCCCCGACTCCCCCGACCTCCAGTGGGATGTCCCCACCCTACCCCAATCTGCCAGGCCTCCCCACTCCCTGGGGTCTCAAGTCTTTCAAGGGTTCAGGGCATCTTCTCTCACTGAGGCTAGACCAGGCAGTCCTCTGCTGTATATGTGTCGGGGGCCTCGGACCAGCTAGTACATGCTGCCTGCCTGGTGGCTCAGTGTCTGAAAGAGCTCGGGGGTCCAGGTTAGTTGAGACTACTGGTCTTCCTTTGGGGTCACCTTCCTCCTCAAGTTCTTCTAGCTTTTCCCTAATTCAACCGCATGCGTCCTCAACTTCAGTCCATTGGTTGGGTGTAAGTATCTGCATCTGTCTCAGTCAGCTGCTTGTTGGGCCTCTTGGAGGACAGCCACGCTCCTATCTGTCACACAGTAGCATCAGTAATAGTGTCTGGCCTTGGAGCCTCCCTTTGAGATGGATCCCAAGTTGGGCCAGCCACTGGACCGCCTTTCCCTCAGTCTCTTCTTTATATTTGTCCTTGCAGTTCTATTAGATAGGAACAATTCTGGGTCAGAGTTTCTGACTGGGGTGATGACCCCCCCCCCATCCCTCCACTTGATGCCCTGTCTTTCTACTGGAGGTAGGCTCTACAAGTTCCCTCTCCCCACTGTTGGGCATTTCATGTAAGGTCCCTCCCTTTGAGTCCTGAGAGTCTCTCATCTCCCAGGTCTCTCGTACATTCTAGAGGGTCCCCCCATACCTCCTTCCAAGGTTGCATATTTCTAATCTTTCTGCTGGCCCCCAGGGCTTCTCTCCTGTCCCTCCCCCCACACACTACCTAATTATGTTCCCCTTCCCCCCTCCCCTTTCCCACCCAGGTTCCTCCCTTCCTCTCTCTCCTGTGATTGCTTTCTTCTCCCATCCAAGTGGGACTGAAGCATCTTCACTTGGGCCCTTTGGCTTGTCCTTCTTGAGTTCTGTGGATTGTATCCTGGGTATTCTGTGTTTTTTTGGCTGATATCTACTTATTAGTGAGTACATACCATGCATGTCCTTGTGGGTCTGAATTACCTCACTCAGGATGATATTTTCTAGTTCTATCCATTTGCCTGCAAAACTTAGAATGCCCTTGTTCCCTAATAGCTGAGTAGTATTTCATTGTGTAAATGAACCACATTTTCTATATCCATTCTTCCTTCCGTTATGGGACATCTGGGTTGTTTCCAGTTCTTTCATTGTTCTTATTTATTTGTACTATTCTTTTATTGTTTTAGCTATCCTATGTTTTTTTGTTTTGTTTCGTTTTTTCAAGATCTGTAAAGAATTATGTTGGAATCTTGATGGGTATTGCATTGAATCTGTAGATTGCTTTTGGTAGGATGGCCATTTCTACTATGCCAGTCCTACCAATCCATGAGCATGGGA